GGGCGCGAAAGGCGAGTGACGTGTCAGCAGCTCATTGGTGATATCAAACACGTGAAAATACCATACTTTTTCACGTGTGTTGTTACGGTTTTTCTCAGGGCTGGAGATCCTTATATAACACCGTAGTTTATATGATAAATCATGTTACAACTTTTTAATAATGCGCAGAAAGGCAAGACAGACGAAATTTGAGAGCGTGCGCGAGTTATTTGTGACTTGCACTCGTGTTACATCTTAGAACTCACGTCACAACTTTGCACTCTTGGCAGCCCATCAGAAGCGCGTAACTTTTTCATATTCATTATTAACTCGGTTACCGCTCATCATCTTAATGTTCTCAGTACCATATGACAATATATTGTCACAATTTAGGCAGCAATTTGGTCCGCTACATCACTCATTCACGCCAGAGTCAGTGAAAGACTTTTTGCTTCTCTTTGGTAAACATTTCTCGAGCTCTGGTACAAATTGCGAGTTTGTATATCTCGTTTATGATTCTGGAAATGACGGATAAAAAGTCTTTTTTTTCCATCATGATTTTGAAAATCAGGCTGAAGATGATTTCAACAAGATATTGGTATATAGCCGTAAAACATACCAGTTCAAAAGACGTGCAGGCACGAATAGATGGTAACATCTTGTTATAAATTGACTAAATTGTTATGATGCAAAGTGAACAACTGCATTATCATATGACTCATTATAAATTATACGATAGCCTGTGTTCTAGTTCATTTTATTTTGTTGTGTGCCATGTGAACATGTAAATACAAACACAAGAATTATTGTATAGGAGATCTCATAAAAAATGTGCGAAAGCTATTTTCACTTTCTTATGCTTTTAATTAAGTATGTTAAGTCTACTCAAACATCGATTCAATGACGCCCTCTCGAAAAATCCTCTCGGACGCGTACTCTTTGATCTTTATCCATAGGCGATCCGGATTTTTAGATTTTCCGCAAAACTTTTCATAATACAATTTATGAATGTCTTCTACCGACCCAAAAATATCCGTATGTACAATTGTTAAGATCCAGTGCATTCTATTGGGAGCAAATTCGTGTATAACAGATCCGTAATCTTCTAGAAAAGCAGCACGGAAAGTTTTCCAAGAGACTGAATTTTCACCGTCGAAGTGCCGCAACCAGAAGTCATCAGAATACATAGGCGACGGCCGAGAACAAGACCGCTCTCTTTTTGATTGTGTTAAACTTTCCATTGACATAGCTTTAAGAGATTTCTTATGTGATGCCAGCTCTCCATCTATTGGACTAACATTTCTTTCCTCAAAAGTCTCTGTGCTTTCATCGAGGGACTGAGTGTTGACCAAATATTTCACTTTTCGCGACTCGCATTCAAGCGGCTTTCTTCTCTGACGACCTCTCTTTGACCAAAAAGTTGCCTCTGTGAAAAAAGAATGAACAAAACTCTGACTCAAGATTCAGTCTTTTCCCAATAGTCCTAAAAATAAACACTGGTGGGAAACAGTCTATCGAAGTCTACTAATGTCTCAACAAAATCCTTACCTAGAAAAAATTGATCTCGTTTTAAAAGCATGAATTTGGTAAACTTTACCCATATTTCGTTTTCGTTTTTTCTTGCACTTGCCTATCATCAGCTTAAAAAGCTTTAATATGACACATATGATTGGAGAACTCGGCAGAATTCATAAACAAGTGCGTGCATTCAGCTTAGTACGTCTAACCACAAAAAAACTTACACCAGCTTATTAAATTGAGCACAAAGCGGACAAATCAGTTTGCAGGTAATTCTGGTATTTTTTGTATAAATAGGGATTTGGACTGGAAAAGCTAATCTACATGCTGTTTTTATCAGGTAGTTTAACATCGAGCCTTTTACAGAATGCAAAACATTTCCGAATACTATGCAGTGCCAAACTCAATCATCAGCTTTTCTCATATAAACAAACCCAGAACAGAAAAATGAAACGAAAACTGATTACAAGCGAAAATGTTCCCTCTAAAATCATATTATGTTTTAAATTAAACCTCCATTTCTTCCATTTACTTTCGATCCGGAATTGTACTAAAGTGTTTTGCATTGCTTAATTGTCAAATCTGAAATACTGGAGGCGTTCGCTGTTGTATTGTTACTCAGAGATAACGTATTTGAACAAATAACCACTTGAGTTCCCACGGCCTCCTCGTTTACGTTATTAAATCTCAAAAATTGCAAAAAGCTTTCAAGCACTAAACTAAATTTTCGTGAGCTTGAATTTCGTGATTGATAACTACGCATAAATCTTCGTATATGTAGATGTAGATAAAGTAATTAAAAAATCAGCTCAGCGCACGTAATGTAGGTTTGGAAATTACTAAGGCTTTCTTTTTTAAGTTTGTTATGCTAAATAATCACGAACATAGTTTGAGTCACTGAGAGAATAACAGTTACAAAAAGGTTATCGATATGGTGAGTCTAAAATACTGTTCTGATGGAAAAAAAAACAAACAAAAAACAAACAAAAAAACCGTCGCAAATTCACTTTCCTGCTTGTATAAATCCAACGTGGCGATCTAGCGTAACGTCATCGGCACCAGAGGTCTACGTTACATGAAAAATCGATTAGATCTGACTTTTTCATTATTATTTCTTTGATAACACAGCAAGAAATTGTATGCTGGGAAAAATTCGGCTGAAAGCTGATTGTAGAAAAAGACGGTAACTTATGAAATACAACGACCATCGTCATCGATCGTTTAAAAAAAAAGCCAAACAAAACAAAAAGAAAAAAACCTTAACATCAAACTGAAGATTTTTGTATTTTTTTTCATTTCCTTTAGTTTCGCAATCGTAATTAGTATTGGATCATGTATAGGTAATTGTGCAGACAAAACATTCGACGAGCATCAAAAATAAACATAGGCACGCAATGCATACGTAAAGCGCGGGAATTATGTAGTGTGTAGGATGCGTCCGACAGCTTAGATCATTTCCAGGGTAAGATAAGTACAAACGAAATATGGCATTATGATATATGAACCACTTTGAATACACGTGCACTTTGGATTGTTGAGGAGACAATTTTGGTTACCTGTACAATGACTTTTTATTGACAAACAATCACTTTAAAGAACGGTATGCAAAACGATCTATAACTGGGAAAGCTTAGCTTTGAAGAAATAGATGAATATCACTGTTAGGTACTACTTTGTGGCTGAAAAACTATTTTGAAATGCTTTTCATATAAGTTTTAAAACCAAGAACTTTTTCAACTCTGTACAGGCATGAATATGAGTCAGTTATAATAAACATTCATTTTGCTCAATAGGGAGCACAGCTTTGTAATTTGTACCACAAAAAAGTGTAAAAGAAGTAAAGCAAAGAAATTCATTACATGGATAATATATAGATTTAGCCAAGCCTAAAAGGCACGTCTCAAGGGCACAACGCCTTGCCCCGGCCAGGACTAGAACTCGGGTCGTCCGACTCGGAGCCCAGTGCACTGACCACTGGACTACTGGACAACGCGGTACAGTTGACCAGTCATGTTAAAAGTATTACCTTGTACGGTCGCACGGTCGTACATCCAAATTTTTTTCGGCTTGATGGGTTACTACTATTTTGTATAATTATGGGGCTATGCTCTGCGAGCTCCGCTATCAATGAAGTATCAGAAATGTATAAAATTTGATGCATAATTGCGGAGAAACTCACAACTTTGATATTGACATTCCAACCAAAGGCAACGACTATCGATATTTAATACCTGGCAAAAACTTTTGAAGTAAATATGCCTAAAACAATCAGAAATACCAGAGATTAATTTCGTTAGGATAGTTCATGGCTGAAATAATAAAAGAGTTTTTCAGGTTCAGTGTAATGACAAGAAAATGAAAATATTCTTATCTTGACTAATTGGTTTGACTGATTGGCTAAAAACGATACTGACGGTGAACATCATAAAATAACAAGCATCCGTAATTTGAGCTTAAGGCTTCCCGAAAATGACAAACGTAACATACCACCTAAGAACAACCTTATTCTAAATGATTGCTGGAAAACTGACTTGGACAATAAACATCGTAGATTAACAGACATGCGTCACTTGAAGGACTTAAAGTAAATCCCACCCACACGTGATGAACCAACGAAAAAATTAAATTATTGTGACTAGTCAATGACAAGCGATATAGACGATAAACGTTATAAAATAGTGTACAGGCAACATTTGAATCAAAGTGTGCCTAAAGGGGACAAACATAACATACTCACTCTAACAAATAACAGAATAAAATTTATAAATGAGGGATTTTACATCGTTTTAATAGTTTTCGTGCGGATTATGGCGCTGCCATAAAAGTACATGTACGCTAAGATGGAATTCAACCGTAAGATGTTTTCTCGATCGAACTCTTTCTCTGCTTGTATTATAACACAGTGTTATGTGAGTACAATACAACAGCTTGTTTTGGGGAATAGATTTGAAAATATATAGGTCTTCCATTCTACGCGCGTGGAAAGCGCGACGAACGAAATCCACGCTATAAGAATAAATGATCTAAACGCACAGCAGTATGGTCTCTGTATTCACAGTTAAATAATGGACGCTACAGAATATGTCTGCATCGTTTGCTGATGTGATTTGGTTGTAGACGATGATGTTATAATTCAGTTAGCACGGCTTAACGCGACCAAAGGCGAAAATTGCACACGTTTTTAATAAAAAAATTTAATCAAGGTAATGGTGTTAGATGAAAAGTGTACGGCACGAAACTTTTTGTGAGTTAGAAAAACGAGTGACAATTTACTTCGCGAAAAGTTTGTTTTTCTTTATCAAACAGAGATGAAAATTTGGATGAAGCGAAGTATATGTCAACAATTAAATATGAAACAGAAATTAATTATTCTTGGTTTTTCTATTTGTTACATAATATTGGTGGAAAAACTCTTGTTTATCAGTTAATCCTTTCGTTACATTTTCAGTGAGATTTCGGAATACGAAGCGAGATTTTAAACGTTCCCACATTATCAGCTAAATAAAAGCCAGCTTGATATGTACTGGGTTCCCCCTAACAAAAACAAAGTCAATAAACGAAAAATATATTTTTTTGGAATAAACTGTTGTAACAAACATTGGTTTGATGCCATAAACATCAGGCATTGGAAAAATCGAAAATATAAACATGACAAAAACTAAAGATAAATAATCGAAAATTAAACAGTTCAAACCTTTTTCCCCCTCTGTTTCATTCATATCGACAGAACGATGTCCGCGGCGAAAGAAACGAAAAACTTTGAGCATTTTTTATAGATAGCTTGCCTCTCGCCTCATGACTAAAACGATTACCATTTAAATTTTTGCTTCAACATAAGCTGACAGCGTAAACGAAAATAAAATATACCATAATTATTCGGGAAGAACCTCACAGGCAGCAATTTCAATGTTATTTTCTAATTAAAAACAGGCTTTTGTCTTTTAAATTTAAACTGTCGAATTAGAAACTCGCTTTGTCCATAAAGGAAATCTCTTAATATCAAAGATATTTGCAGATGTGAACCTGTATTAATTTATCCAAAAAAAATTGAGCGTCACTTTGAGCAAATAGCAGCGTTTTGCTTGTTTTTCACAAATCGATGTTAAGAAATAATGATTTAGGAAAAATCAGCGATACATTCAGTAAAAGTGACCATTAAGAATGTAAAAATTTAACAGATTAATTATTCACAGGCTGATGTTGATTGTCACTGCTATTTAAAGATTACCAGTAAATTAAACTTTATCATACTTTGGTTTTTTCACATCAGATTAAGAGATGTATTTAGATTGTTTGTATATAGTTATGATTCAATGTCGATAAGAAATCTTTTACCAAAGTAAATAATGTATTATGACGGTTCGGTTTTAAATGCTGAATCTAGGTCATTGTATGTTGTCTGTTAGTTGATATTAACTGAATCTGGCTAAGTCTTCAAAATTAAAATCTGAATGAAACTTGTGATGAAGCTTGGTATAGCTTTTGATGACAGATTCTAAATTGTTTCTCCTAAGAAACCTTTAAATCAGCTAACAGTTCCTTATCATTTCTTCTCGTGTTTGGGTGCAGACTTACCTTCTTAAGTGGAGCATTTTTTGGCCGAAATTGTACATTAGCTATTTCCGGAGCCTTCCTCTTCGCTTTTTCAGTTAGCATCTCAGATTTCACCACCAAATGATACTTTTCAAAGCTTGACTCACCATTTTGATTCTGTTTATTTCTCTTTCTTTTTTCTGCCGACAAATCTTATTTAGAAAACGGATCTGTAAACACTTCCGTAAAATCTACTTTAGATAAACAATTTGAGGCAAACTAGGGGAAGAAATACTATGATAGACGTGCGTTGTTTGACAACTACGTGACTGCTCCGATATTTCAGAATGTCAGCATTGGTTAGGGATTAGTCATCTAGGGGAGGCAGAGGATTTTGGGCTGTTCAAATGGTTTTCAGGGGGAGTGGAGAGGGGATCACAAAAGAACTAGATTGAATAGTAGTGCAAAAGCAATGATCGACTTCCTACTTCATAAGTGTTTCATTTCATAGGCTTTCATAGGCACCACAAATTGTGCTCTTTGATTGACTGTTGTCTCTGAGTTTGATTGGTGGAGCAAAATATCATTTTCGACCACAAATTTGTTACTTCTTTCAAAAATGTAAATAAAGGCTTTGTCTTCAGAGCGCGCCGACACGCAGCCAGCACATGCAGAAAAAAACTTTACAAGAACAAAATAAAAAATACAAGAAAAAGAATTCGTCGCCTCAATAAATTCTTCGTTAAGATAAAAAAGATAAAAGCATTAGACTTGTCATAAAATCCACTGTTACGATCGTTTCCACACAGAATGATCAATAAAAATTTTGTAATTTACCCATCTCAGGAGCAATCAAAATATAACGTCCACTCACCATATCTACTCCAGTATACCCTCTAGTCAATTTTAAGAAAGTACAACAACATTTGATAAATCTAGTAACTACTACATTTACAACATACCCATTCAGTGTTGGATGTCATCTCCATATCACACATAATGTATGTGTGTATGTACGTATGTACGCCTTACGTTGAAGCCTTTTTTGCCTGTATATGATAATTTTAACCTCAATATTTCAGTGATATCTCAGCATATATACAAGGAGTCATTTCCTCACTTGGTTGGGTAAAAGGTGAGAGAACGTAGTTTATTTCTGTCTTTTCTCGAATGGTTCAGTGACCATGATTTCGATTGCCATGCTTCCAGTGTCTTTAATAGCGAACGCCAAAGTTATTTCCTTATTTACGGCCATCAGCTTCTCGAACTTTTTTCGACCAACGTCTTTCGAAATGTCGACCCTTTAATGAGTAACTGCAGATGCGCAAGCGATGCAGCACCTTCGTCTTGATAAACCGCGTCGTTTCATTGAACATACCTCATTGATATGGATACGAAACGACCAAATTGACGGGGTACGAATGGTCCTAACTAGATACGAATCGAATGGGGAAGAAGCGTCCACGGCCCACCTTTTCGAAGGCTGATTAGCGCTAACAGGGGGTTAAATTTTTTAATCCGGGTTTCGTTAACCTTGTGTTCAAAAGCCTTTCTCGAATAATTTTCTCTCTTCTTTGAAAGGCACCCAGTCGCTAAATTTGTAGACAAAAACAACTGTAATGAATTTTCTTTTAAAACCTTCAGATCTTAAACCAGATTTCACACTAACCCTGGATCATCTTAACCCAGCTTTGAACAACCCGGCCCATAGGTACGTAACAACAGTTACTGGTGCGCACATATGTCTTTGCCCTATTTGAAAAGAAAGGTTTTGGTGCAGCGAAAACTATTTATTCGGTGGCGAGTTCCCCTTGAGTGTCAATTATCCTCATACATGGAGGAAAACTGAGACGTTGAGTCGTTAATGACGAGCTCGTTGACTTGCAAGGTACAACAAGTAAGCCAATAGTCGTCGTGATGAAATTAGAAAATAGTTCAAACATTGACGCAATTAGATGAGGTGTGTTTCTACAAAATTTTGAAATATTGGAATCATTAACGTGGATACAACTTATTACTCAGTCGTATGATTCTTTTTTCTTAATACAGCTACATCAAATATATCTTTCAATTACAGACAACCGCAAGCTAACAAGATATGTCAATTTTTGGACGATTTTATATAATTTTTTGAAAGGACACCAGGTGATCAAAACTTCAAACATTTGCGCTCATTCATTTCCTTTCTTCCATTCGATTTTATCTGGTATTTTTAACACAAATTATCGTAGCACGATCATTATCATGATGTTGAATTGTTTGATTATGCAATTACGCTTAAAATGCGCGTATTTGGCTTTACATAGCGTCATCATGACTCGGAAACGTCTGTAATTTTTCCATAACTTTTTTCTTCCTATACATCTTAAAACCTTGAAAACACAATCATTGATAAAATTTTTAAGATCCGTTAAATTCCCAAGATCTGATCCTTGCTGTCCTCCTATCTCCTCTGCCATGTCTTACATTGGAGATTATTATTTTAAACGTGTCCCAGCACGTGTGTTCGTGAGGGTGCGTGTACCGTTGTGTGTGTAGGTGTGTCTGTGTTTAATGAAGAGAGAACCAAGGCTGTTTTTAGTTTATCTACCCACATCGCAATATGATAATATATTGATATTGTGAGGAAAAATTATAATTTTATCACTAATGATAAGCTATTTAATAATATTGATAAGGATTTTATACTAAGCGTGTTCGTTACTGACGCGGTTTAAATATAAGAAAATCATGTATGTGCACTGCGGTTGAAGAAACGAATATAGAAGCGATCCTCACAGTAATGAATATTATTCACCACTTGGAGGATATATTTGAAATCAACATAATGACCAGCTCCCAGTTGGCTTGTTAGCTCACTAGAGTTGGTACAGCGCTGCACCGGTATCGCAGAGGTCATGGGTTTAAATCGCAGTAGTGTTCATAACTGCGAGGATCGCTTCTATATTCGTTTCTTCAGCGGCAGTACACATAAATGATTTTCGTATATTTATAGTCGAGTAGCAACATGATTTCTCGTGCTATTTGGTATAATTATGCAACTATAAATTTTTCAAAGACCTAAAATTGAACTCGGCTGCAATTTTTTTGTCTTTGAAAAAATTTCCTTGTGCTTATCAACACCAAATTACACTCGAATTCATATTACTAACACTAACACGAGTGCAAAAGTTGTAACGAGAGTGCAAATAACAAATAGCGTGCGCGCTGCCAAAATTTTGCCGTCTTGACTTTCTGTAACGCTTTTTCATGTCAATTATGATCAAGTTACAACATGATTTCTCGTGCAATTTGGTGTAAATAAGCACTTGTGCTCGGGTAGTGCAATTGTGTAGTCTTTGAAAAATTTACTCGTGCTTATCAACACCAAGTTACACTCGAATTCATGTTACTGCCTACTAGTAATTGGGTGTCAAATGTTTGTTACTTATGTGCCAGGCCTGCTTCTGCTCACTGGTCAGTTTGCTAGACGCTATCACTTTGTGCTTTTTGAGCAGTTCACAAGCTATAAGTTCGGGAACAAATTACTCCATTATCAAAGAAACTCAACACTAAAAGCTAAATGGAGACTCTTAAGATTATTTTCCGTGCTAAATGTACGGAGATAGTGCGGCCTGCTATTTACAATGAATTTTCATTTTTGAAAGATAAAAATAAGCCTTACGGATGCTGCTCCCTCGTCACAGTGATGATGTCCAGAAATGCAGTGTCGCGCAACTAATCATGGGGTGTTTTGCTTTTCAACAGTCTCTTGGGGCAGGCGTCTTCTCGCTGTTCCCCCGCCCCTACCCCCACCGTCCTCTCTAATTCCAAATCAAACATGGCCGGTCGGATAAACGATCGCCAGCTTCAAACGCTAGTTCACCCTAAGAAGACACCTGCACTGCTGGCCAAACATAAGGGAAAGTTTAAAAAAATTGTTCGATAACCTTTTTTTCTAAGGAATCACCTTAAAAGATGAGTATCGAGTAACAGGAGTTGAGGTGAACCAGCCAGACAAATGAACGGATAAAATCCTTCCCGAATTCCGCCAGTTACGTCCCTTATCCCGCTACCATGGCGAAACTTTGAACATCTGTTCGCTACCGAGCTCTGTTCGCCTTTAACTGAATGTGGAGCGTGTCGGATTTGTTTCTACGATGCATAACGTTTCTCTTTTTGCGAATCCTTTCTTTACGCCTCGTAAAAAGTGTTAACGGGCCGGCACGACTCCTGCCAGGCGTTGAGTTTATTTGAACGAATTTCTCCACAATTGCCCGTATCTCAACAAAAAAAGAGGCGCGGTTGATAAGGATCCTTTAAGATGCTACATC